TAGTTTTTTTTAATCTGCTTATTGAAAGGTTTGATAGCAAAACACCAAAGCAAAATAAGCCAATTGGACCAAAATAATATGAATGACTCTTCACTGATATTCATATAGGAGAGTGTCAGTGTAACAATATGAACCTTGACATGAAGTACTTTGCGGAACTCCTGAAAAGAATTGCGTAAGAGAAAATGATCAAGCAGATCAAGATTTGGTAATCTTTCCTGTTATTTTGTGTAGTTCTTGGATGTATTGCTACTTTAAAGCTAAGTAGCGAGCCCTTGCTTGAATCGACATCCATCCATCCATCCATTTTGGGAACCGTTTATTCCCTAATGGGGTCATGGGAGCACTGGAGTTTATCCCAGCGGTCATAGGGTGAGAGGCAGGGTACACTTGGACAGGCAAAAGTCCACCTCAAGACCACGAGAGATGAATGAGAACCAGAAAACTCTAGTTTTGAGACCACCATGCAGCCCCATTAGAAAATTACAAATTCTATGATGGTCACTGAAAACAATTCTTTGTTAGGACAAAGAAAGGTGAAATAATTATTGATTATGTTTTCTTTTTTTAAGTCAGTAAATTAAAGATCTTAGCCTAGACAAAATTCCACTTGAATTTTCTGTCAGAAATGAATAACTGTTACAAAATATGTTACTGTGTACACAGATGCAATTGGATTCATTTTGACAAATTTTACTTGAATCTAACCAGAATATCTTCCAATGGGGCTTTAATGAGTATTTCTTTTCTTTTTAAAATGCAATTCATGGTATCTCCTGTAACAGATATTAGCAGTAGTCAAGTTTGTATTATTACTTCAAATTTAAATGTAAGACCTTCATGTATCATTATTTACCTTTCAAGTATTATAATATAATGTCTGATTTAGTTAAACTCTGTTAGTTGGGAGAAACCCCTGGTACAGAAAACAGCATTAGACAAATTGTAAGCCTTGAAGTCTCTTCTACAACAACAGGATTCTTCAATGCTTCGTCCTTATGGTCAGTCATGCAGGCCATGTTCCACCTTGTGTTTAATGA